TCCAGATGCAATGTTTCAGGTGAGGCTCGAAAACGGGTTTACTGTTTTAGCGCACATTTCTGGAAAAATCCGTCGAAATTCTATTCGAATTCTTCTTGGTGATCGTGTGACCGTTGAATTGACCCCGTATGATTTAACAAAAGGGCGTATCATTTATCGATTACGTAAAAATGATCCTTCTCGTTTCTAAGTCGAGGTTTTTCACGGGCAGTATTTTCTATTTATATTATTTTTAATATGGCAACGAAACAGCGTAAAAGTGTGCAGAAAAAAACACGCCGCAAAGTTCAACGCGGTGTAGTGCATATTTTAGCAACATTTAACAATACTTTAGTGACCATTAGTGATCGTTCGGGTCTTGTCATTGCTTCATCTTCGGCTGGAGCATGCGGTTTCCGTGGTGCACGTAAAGGAACGCCTTTTGCAGCACAAACAGCTTCAGAAGAAGCGGTACGTAAAGCAATGGATTATGGTCTTAAATATGTTGAAGTAATGGTTAAAGGTCCCGGAGCTGGTCGTGAAATGGCTATCCGTGCTCTTCAACAACTTGGGTTAGGGGTAACTTTAATTCGAGACGTGACACCATTACCTCACAACGGATGTCGTCCTCCGAAAAAACGTCGTATTTAATTGGATTTAACAACAACAACAGCAGTCAAACGGAGAAAAGATGATGATGACAGCTTCGGCAAAGTTACACTCTTTGCAATTTCAACCACTTGCTCCCACTGAATGGTATGGTCGATTAAGTTTTGGTCCAGTGTTACCTGGGCAAGGGCTGACAGTCGGTAATACTTTACGACGTGTCCTTTTAAATGATTTAAAAGGCATTAGCGTTGTCGGAGCGGAAATTGCTGGTGTTGATAACGAGTTTTCAACCTTACCTGGGGTTCGTGAATCTGTGGTGGAAATTTTTTTAAATTTGCGTGATTTAGTTTTTACGCATTATACACCTGATGAGAAAGAACCACCAAGTCAAGGAGAATTGGAACCTGGTGCAAAACCTTTTGCAGCAGCCCAGTTAAAAAAAGACTTATCTAAGTTACCGATTAGCTCATTCCCGTATGTTGTACGTGCTGG